GTTTTCTCTTCCATTATTCCTAAACATCAACTAGCATCAAGTGAGAGTGAGTGACTTAGAAATATTGGGTCGTTGGGAAAGTCATGATGCGTTTTTGCATTGAAAAACATAGAAAAATACGTCATGACTTTCCCAATGACCCAATAGATACAATAGAGCCTGAGAGGTAGTTGTGGGGACAGGGGTGGGGCATGGGATAGAGCCCTTGGAAGGAGTAAGGGGATATATTGGGGAAGAGGTTTAAAGGCACAATTAGCTGGAAACGTGGCAAAAGAATAATGAAAAGAACTGTAACGAAACAAGAAGGAAGTAGACTCAGAGCCCTGTCTCTGGGCCGGCTCCAGACTAGACTGTTGCTGCAGCTAGAACGGCTGAGTGGGTCAATGTCACTGTTAATTACTTTTTTGTTTTTCTGTTCTTTCCTGTTCCTGACTCCCTTTTCCATCTTCTTCCTCCTTCCACCCTGAATCCCATCTTCTCCCGTTTTTTCTTCCACCTCTTTCTCCTCTCCTCTGCTCTCATGCATCCTTTCTCCCCTCCCCCTCTCACCCACCCATCTCCTCCCTCCGTGCCCTTCCCGTTTACTCCCATCCCCCATCCCCTCCAAGCTCTCTGGTGGATGCGAGTTGACCGTGGTCCTCCAGGACTTCAACGCCGGCCACAGCAGTGAGCTGACCATTCAGGTGGGACAGACGGTGGAGCTGCTGGAGCGGCCAAGTGAGCGGCCAGGCTGGTGTCTGGTGCGCACCACGGAACGGAGTCCGCCCCAGGAAGGCCTGGTCCCCAGCAGCGCCCTGTGCATCTCCCATTCCCGAAGCAGCGTGGAGATGGACTGCTTCTTCCCCTTGGTGAAAGGTAGGGAGAACGGGGGTGGGGGGTGTGTGGGGGGTGGACCAGAAGGCACTGGGAGCGTTAGCCCCCTCTAACCGAGGAACGTAATGAACGAACCTGTCTCATGAACCCGTTTTCACCTTGCGCGATTTCTCTGGGATCTGCTTATGAAGAGGGTGGGTTGGGAACTTACAGAGAAAGAGCTACCAAGTAGCCATGTGACTTTGGGCAAGTCATTTAAGCTTTCTGAGTCCGTTTCATCTTAAAAATGCAGGTTGAATTTCATGGCCTCTAAGATCTCTTCCAGCTCTGCCATTGTGCCAGCTTACATTTAGAAAAGCTCTCTTCTACCTGTGGCCAAATGCCTAGAGTCCTCCTTTCTCGCTGACCCACTCTCCCCCTCCACAGCTCCCTGGGGCTCACTGACACCTGAACTCTCCCCCAAGTGCTCATGCTGACACACAGGCCCCGAGCAAACCCAGAGAATGAGTTGGGTTTGACCCTCCCTCGGCCCTGCCAGGGTCTGAGGTACCCGTTTAGGTGCCGGTGATGGGTACGTTATTGGTGCCTTGGCTTCTGTTTTATACTTGTGTAGCTCTGTGTTCCTTCCATGTGCTTGTTTATTCACTTTTCTCACACCAGGGGGATGAATGACTAGAACAGTGATTGGAGGGGGGAGAGGGGGGAGGGGCGTGCCTCTGGATTGGTAGCCTCAGTGTCCCCTGGGAACTTGTTAGAAATGCAAATTCAGACCCCATTCCAGACCTACCGAGTCAGAAACGCTGAGGTGGAGCCCAGCAGTCTGTGTTTTAATAAGCCCTCCAAGGGACTCTGATGCACACTCAAGTATGAGAACCACTGACTTCAAAAGCCAAGGCTGGCAGTGGCCTTGAAGTCACTCATTTTATACAGAGGAAACTGAGACCCAGAGAGCAACTTAGTTCTGAGCTTCTTTTTGTAGCTGGCCAGTTAATCTGCATCAGAGGCTCCTTCTGTGCAGACCTGTGCTAGGGATTTATGAGATAGGAAGAGGAAAGGGGCCTGGTTCTGTCAGGAGGCAGGGACGAGGGTCACCATGGAGACCTGCTGCAGGCTGCCTGGTAAATATGACAGGCCAATAATGTTTCAATGTTCCCATTTCTGGAATTTCATCTGGTCCCTCTCCAAAGCCCGACTTCCTCCTTCCCTCCACCAGATGGCGATAGCAGGTGGCATGATGCGTGCTGCCTGCCTTCTCATCCGGCCTCCCTGGGTTTTTTCCATCAGGAGAAAAATGAGAGCAAACCTGATTCTCCTCCTACTGCGCGAGACACACACACACACA